TTAAAATTACCGTAAGTGAGGCTAAATTCGCTCATGTAGGGTAAATTCGCTCAACCGATGTCTATTTTTTAAAATTCGATTAACATACTTTTTAGACAGAAATATTTAAGATTTACAATTGTTTTGGTTAATATAAATGCTAAACTTTAATTTAAAATTTATTTGCAGCAAATTCATTGGTAACTTTCAGTAGAAATTATATTTAAAACACAAGTGAATAATTTTCATATTGAACAAGTAGTATGAAAAAGTAGGGAATAAAGCTTTACTTCAAAATTTTTAAGTTGAATACTTCTGAACATTACATTTCCTGTATCTCCAACATGATTTTCATAAAGCACAAAAATTAAAGCAATAAACAGATTCTGCAAAAAATCAATTTAAAAAAAATTCAAATTTGTTGTGTAAATTCGCTCAGGAAATAAGTCTACAAAAAAGATGTTTGGGCCTGGATATTTTAAGTATGTTAATTAATTTAATTTATAATTCGATTTTTTTAAATAATAGTACTCTTATAACTGAAAATTAAACGATTTAAAACGGTTTAAGCACTAAACTGTCAAACTTAACCTTGTTTTTTATGGTTATGAGTACGTTTGATTGAATGATTGAATCTAATTACTTATTGATAAAACAATATTAAATATTTATTTCAATAACTTTGTATATTGTTCTTAATTTTTTTCTTTATTGATTCTAAAGAATATTTAGTTTCATTTTTGCAGATTATAATATATTTTGCCAGAATAATAATGGTGAGCGAATTTACCCATCATTTAAAGGTAAAGTCGCTCACAAAAAACGGCTTATAAATAATTTTCTGCAACATATTTTAATTTCTTTATGCAGTAATAGGAAACATAAAGGATTAAAGATTATATATTTTCAGTGCCAATGTTTATTTTCATCGTTTCCCGAAGTTATTTAAAAAAGAATTGAAAAATTGAGCGAATTTAGCCTCACTTACGGTATTTTGTCTTATTTTTGCAAATAATATTCTTTATACATTTTTGCAAATAATTTCTGTTTATTAGATTGCAGAATTAATTTTCTTCATTAATTCTTAAAATTATTTTGTCTTATTTTTGCAAATAATATTCTTTATACATTTTTACAAATAATTTCTGTTTATTAGATTGCAAAATTAATTTTCTTCATTAATTCCTAAAATTATTTTGTCTTATTACTAATATTGAAAACCAATTGTCTTTATTATTTTGTAAAATTCCTTATTTTAGTTTTTAAAATTAATTTTCTACATTAATATTTAATAGTATTGTAAGAAATCAGTAAATAATTATTATCAAGAAGAAAAAATATTTCTCTTGCATAAAAATTAAAAATCATCAGAAAAATTTGCAAAAATACAAAAATAGTAAATTTAACATTGTAAACAGATTTTAAGTAAAAGTGAAATGTGATTTTTGTCGATTTTCATTTTATTTCATTTCATTTTTTCTTTTTTTTTTGAAAGTGATAAAGTCAAATATATGGAAATCGAGTCTCGGTCTCATCCTTTGATATATATATATATATATTTATAAATATTTGTGTATATAAAATACACGTAAACAAATATGCATATATTGATATATAGAAAGAATATGTATATATAACATCATAACCAGTCACAAAGTACCTTTTGGTCGAGATAGTGAGCTTCTCTCAACGCTCGTGCTCAGACTGAAACAGAGATTGCGCGTAATTCGCGATTAGTCATTTTTCCCAGCCATCGAAATTGTCTGTTTCTTATTTCGTTTTTTTTTCTATGGTTTTCTCCTAAGATTTTTTTTCTCCTTCAAAATCTTGATTTCATTTTTTTTTCTCTTCAAATCTCAAAAATAAGAGATTTCTATTTAACGAAAAATATTTTTCCTCATCGAAATGCGGAGAGAGAAAATGCAAAAATAATCCCTTATGGAAATAATTTATTAAATTATTAATCGCTTTTGTTAATAATCAAATAAATGTTAAATAATCAAAATAAAAAGTTATTTAGAAATTAGAATTTCTTTTCGTTGTTTATTTTCATTGTTCTCATTAGTACTTTCATAAAATTATTATTCATTAATGATTCAGCGAATAATTTTTACTGAAAAATTCAAGAAATTAGTAAATTAATTAATTTTAAGAAATTACCTAACACTTCGAAGTGTTGCAGTTGAAATTTTTTATAAATAATTCAATATTAAAAGGATTTAAAATTGAAATTTCAGAATATTTGAACTTTAAATTAATTTTAATTGAAAATTCCGAAGAAGTTTGTTTTTGAAAAATTTTTATTTAACAACTTTTGAAATTATTTGAATTTTTTCAATAGAAATTTAATTTAATAATTTTTGAATGATCCAAAACTCGTGAAATTGAAGTCGATTTCAGAATTATTTTAGAAAAACTACTTATTTCTTAAAATAATTAATTAGGAGAAGAATTTTAAGTTAAAAATTTCCAGAAAATAATTGATTGAAAATTTTGAAAATACTTTTGGAGAAATTACAGTAGCAATTCTTGTATAAATTATTCAATTTCGAAAGATTTGAAAGTTAAAATTTTTAAAAATCTAAGAAAAATGCTAATAATATTGAAATATTTATCTAAAAATTCGAATAATTTTACAATTAAAGATATTCACGACAATATTTAGACTGAATCAAAATATTTTTCAATATTAGGGAAAAAATCAAAATTCCTAAAAACTAGAAAAAAGTCCAAATTTTCTTGACAACTCTGATTTTTCCTTCGCGATTTACAGCCGAAACAAAATTCACTGAAATCAAAAAGAAAGAAAATCGCAATTTTTAGAGAAACACTTGTTTCGTCGAGGGTAAAAAAAAAGAAGAAAATTTTATCCTCAATGTTTACTTACTTACATGATGCCTACAGATGAGCTCAGAATGGGTCTATCGCACACTGGACAATTAAATGGTCGACGGACAGTGATGATAACTTTTCACTAATTTTTTTTTTTTCTAAGAAAAATTTACGAGGAGATAAATTTAAGCAAAAGCATCTCGAATATTTTTTTCAAAATTCCTTTTTGCAGAGAAGAATAAATTTTCCGCAGAAAATGAAATAACGATGTTAGATGTGTTTTTGTTAGTAAACTCACTTAATTAATTAAAAACAAGACATCAAGAGAAAGAAAACGGCATATAGAATTAATTAAAATGAAGCTAAACAGTGTGACAAAGTTTAGTTTACAACAGGAATTTTCGGTGTATATATATATGTATACATATACACGCGAATAGAACGTTTTGTATAGCTAAGTATAAGTTGACCTGGTTGATCTGGTTAGAACTATGTTCCGTACTTAAGATTAGTGCAAAGGAGAGGTAGAGAATGATTTGTATGCAACGGATCTTTGCACCACCACGCATGGAATCTTAAAATCTCGAAAGGCACTTCTCTTCAATGTATACCTAGCATTTCTGATTGAACGTGATATCAAACGATTTTCTCATATTTCTTTTTCTTCCCTTTTTTCTTATTTTCCAAAAACAAAAAAAATAAATTTTTTCAATAAAATTCAAATTGATTTCAGATTTTTTTTTTCTTTACCTAAATATTCTAATTAGACTAGAAATACTTTTTTGCATTCTCACTACATGAGAAATTATACAGAAATATAATTATAGAAAGAGAAATTATAATTATCTGACGCATGGGTGATTTTTCTAAAACTGCTACTTTTGAACTTTGATTTTTAAATTTTGTTTTTGTTTAATTTTTAATATATAAAAATATTAATTATCGTGAACTAATTTAAATCCACAACTGAAGACAAAGTTTAAACATTTTCACCATTTATAAAAGTGAGGTCTAAAATTTTTTAAAATACATATAATGATAGATGGAACATTGTACTTTCTGTAACTAGTTTTAAAAAAATTTTAAGAGTTTGCAAAAACAATAAAAATTCAGTTTTTTATAGAAGTACTACCGGATTTCTATTGTCTATTCTATATTCTCCTATTGGACCAATTATTTTAGCTACTGCATAAACTCTGTCCAATAAATTGTTTATTTTTTTTTTTTGAAATCTTAAGTAAATTTTTACTCTGAAAATGATTAATAATTATTTAAGAGTAGAATTTGTAAAATTAATTAAGTTATCAAAAATCAAAAATGTCATTTTTAGTAGAATCACCCATATACACTGAAAAAATTTTTTTTTGAAATCCAAAAATAAGTAGCAAACCAAAAAATAAGTTTGAATTAATAATTAAACATATTTTATAATTTAATTAAATGTATAATTTTTATTAAATCAAACTTCTTATGTATTGAATCAAAATTAATATGTTTAATTGAAAAATAATTTTTGGTTGACTATATAGCAAAGATTATATTTTAAATAAATATTTAAATAAATATTTTAAATAAAAATTATGTTTGACTCAAACATATTGTTTTCACAGTGTATAAAATGATAATTGTAATTATTCTAATAAAATTTATAAACTAAAATAAAAATGGTGTATTAAATAAAAAAATTCCTACATAAAAATGTATTCTATTTATTCTACGAATAATGAAGAAAACGATCTCGATGAATTATTTATTTTCATCTATAATTAATATTTTCAGATCGAAACATTTTTTTTTCGTTAATTATTTTACTTATTAGTTAATTATCACTTAAATTGGTTGATTATCACTTAGCTGTTGATTATCACTTAGTTTTTGTTGATTATCACTTATTTTGTTGATTATCACTTATAGATCATGTTAATATCTTTTTTTTTTGTTAATTATACATATAAATATATATAAAATTGTAAAATAATTACCTATTAAGTATATTAATACATTTGTGTGATTTTGAGTAATATTTGTTTGAACTACATGTTTTTTTCTTTTTTTTTCTTTTGACAAATTGGGTGTTATAATTTTTGAAAAATTGTTGATTATATGAATTTTCTTAATAATTATGGTTATTAATGTTTGTTCTTAAGTTAGTTTGCGAATATATTGACGATTTCGTTGTAATAACATACCCGTTTGGGAGTGAGGTGAATCCATTCCACGATGGCCATCCTCGGGCCTTAGAACTGGAGAGAAAGTTGTAGCACTTGAAACCGATACCGTCGGTGGCTTTTCAGTCTTATCATTTCTTATGAGCTGGTGCACCGGCGGTGGACCTGATTTCAAATAGAAAAAAAATTTTTTCCAGAATTAAAAATCGGTTCTTTTTTCATTTATTTATTTATTTCAATAAAAATTTAATGAATTTTACTTTCAAAATTTACAAATATAGATTATAAAGTTATCATATAGAATTATTAAATAAATATTATAAAATTATTCCTGCGAAGAATTTTATTATTGTAATAAAAATAATTGAATTCCTGCGAAGAATTTTATTATTTACAAAAATAATTGAATTTTTGCGAACAATTTTATTATTGTATTAAAAATAATTGAATTCCTGCAAGGAATTTTATTATTTACGAAAATAATTGAATTCCAGCGAAGAATTTTATTATTGTATTAAAAATAATTGAATTCCTGCAAAGAATTTTATTATTGTATTAAAAATAATTGAATTCCTGCGAAGAATTTTATCATTTACGAAAATAATTGAATTTTTGCGAAGAATTTTATTATTGTAATAAAAATAATTGAATTCCTGCGAAGAATTTTATTATTTACGAAAATAATTGAATTCCAGCGAAGAATTTTATGATTGTATTAAAAATAATTGAATTCCTGCAAAGAATTTTATTATTGTATTAAAAATAATTGAATTCCTGCAAAGAATTTTATTATTGTATTAAAAATAATTGAATTCCTGCGAAGAATTTTATCATTTACGAAAATAATTGAATTTTTGCGAAGAATTTTATTATTGTAATAAAAATAATTGAATTCCTGCGAAGAATTTTATTATTTACAAAAATAATTGAATTTTTGCGAACAATTTTATTATTGTATTAAAAATAATTGAATTCCTGCAAGGAATTTTATTATTTACGAAAATAATTGAATTCCAGCGAAGAATTTTATGATTGTATTAAAAATAATTAAATTCCTGCAAAGAATTTTATTATTGTATTAAAAATAATTGAATTCCTGCGAAGAATTTTATCATTTACGAAAATAATTGAATTTTTGCGAAGAATTTTATTATTGTAATAAAAATAATTGAATTCCTGCGAAGAATTTTATTATTTACGAAAATAATTGAATTCCAGCGAAGAATTTTATGATTGTATTAAAAATAATTGAATTCCTGCAAAGAATTTTATTATTGTATTAAAAATAATTGAATTCCTGCGAAGAATTTTATCATTTACGAAAATAATTGAATTTTTGCGAAGAATTTTATTATTGTAATAAAAATAATTGAATTCCTGCGAAGAATTTTATTATTTACAAAAATAATTGAATTTTTGCGAACAATTTTATTATTGTATTAAAAATAATTGAATTCCTGCAAGGAATTTTATTATTTACGAAAATAATTGAATTCCAGCGAAGAATTTTATGATTGTATTAAAAATAATTAAATTCCTGCAAAGAATTTTATTATTGTATTAAAAATAATTGAATTCCTGCGAAGAATTTTATCATTTACAAAAATAGTTGAATTTTTGCGAAGATTTTTATTATTTACGAAAATAATTGAATTCCGGCAATGAATTTATTATTGTATTAAAAATAATTGAATTCCTGCAAGAAATTTTATTATTTACGAAAATAATTGAATTCCAGCGAAGAATTTTATTATTGTATAAATTAATAATTGAATTCCTGCAAAGAATTTTATTATTGTATTAAAAATAATTGAATTTCTGCGAAGAATTTTATCATTTACGAAAATAATTGAATTTTTGCAAAGATTTTTATTATTTACGAAAATAATTGAATTCCGGCGAAAAATTTTATTATTTACGAAAATAATTGAATTCCTGCAAGAAATTTTATTATTTACGAAAATAATTGAATTTCAGCGAAGAATTTTATTATTGTATTAAAAATAATTGAATTCCTGCAAGAAATTTTATTATTTACGAAAATAATTGAATTCCAGCGAAGAATTTTATTATTGTATTAAAAATAATTGAATTCCTGCAAAGAATTTTATTATTGTAATAAAAATAATTGAATTCCTGCGAAGAATTTTATTATTTACAAAAATAATTGAATTTTTGCGAACAATTTTATTATTGTATTAAAAATAATTGAATTCCTGCAAGGAATTTTATTATTTACGAAAATAATTGAATTCCAGCGAAGAATTTTATTATTGTATAAATTAATAGTTGAATTCCTGCAAAGAATTTTATTATTGTATTAAAAATAATTGAATTTCTGCGAAGAATTTTATCATTTACGAAAATAATTGAATTTTTGCAAAGATTTTTATTATTTACGAAAATAATTGAATTCCGGCGAAAAATTTTATTATTTACGAAAATAATTGAATTCCTGCAAGAAATTTTATTATTTACGAAAATAATTGAATTTCAGCGAAGAATTTTATTATTGTATTAAAAATAATTGAATTCCTGCAAGAAATTTTATTATTTACGAAAATAATTGAATTCCAGCGATGAATTTTATTATTGTATTAAAAATAATTGAATTCCTGCAAAGAATTTTATTATTGTAATAAAAATAATTGAATTTTTGCGAAGAATTTTATTATTTACAAAAATAATTGAATTTTTGCGAACAATTTTATTATTGTATTAAAAATAATTGAATTCCTGCAAGGAATTTTATTATTTACGAAAATAATTGAATTCCAGCGAAGAATTTTATTATTGTATAAATTAATAATTGAATTCCTGCAAAGAATTTTATTATTGTATTAAAAATAATTGAATTCCTGCGAAGAATTTTATCATTTACGAAAATAATTGAATTTTTGCAAAGATTTTTATTATTTACGAAAATAATTGAATTCCGGCGAAAAATTTTATTATTTACGAAAATAATTGAATTCCTGCAAGAAATTTTATTATTTACGAAAATAATTGAATTTCAGCGAAGAATTTTATTATTGTATTAAAAATAATTGAATTCCTGCAAAGAATTTTATTATTGTATTAAAAATAATTGAATTCCTGCAAAGAATTTTATTATTGTATTAAAAATAATTGAATTCCCTTATTTATGAATATAATTGAATTTTTTGGGAAAAATTTTATTATTTTTAAAAATAATTGAATTCCTGCGAAGAATTCCATTATTTATGATATAATTGAATTTTTTGGGAAAAATTTTATTATTTTTGAAAATAATTGAATTTTTGAGAAGAATTATACCATTAATTTACAAAGTAAATTGTAAAATTAATCGAGTAACTAAATAATAGAATTTACAAATCTAGTTTATAGAATTTACAAACTAAATTATAGGAGTTCTTGTTTAAATTTAAAATTAAAATTTTTTTTTTAAATTAATTTATAAGTCTCAATGAACATAAAAAAGGAGAATTATATTTATCGAATATTGTAAGCATCGAAATGTTTCCAAAGCCCCGAAATCAATTTTCAGTTCTTTAAAAATAATAGAAATGTAGCTTTGGAAATTTTCAAGAAATTCTACGAAACGAAAAAGTTTAATTATCGAGGATTGACTGTATTTATTATAAAAAGAGTCCATGAATAGAAAACAGAACAGAAAATATCAATGAATATAAAATTGTTTCTCTTTTTAAACCAAAAAATTATTTTTTACACGAAGCTATTGGTATTTTCGTTGTTTATAACTGTTACGTGACCTTAACAGTGGATCGCCTTGCCAAAAAAAGCTGAGAGATTAATCACGAACAAGGTCGATGACCATTAACATTTTCTCAATCATATATAACACACGAAAATTTCCTTTTAAATCAAAATACTGTGGAATATTTCCAAAAATTCTTTCTTTTTTTATCATTTCTCCCATTCATTTTAGAATTGTAATACCCGGTATAGAAACTGTGCTATTCTATTTCAGTTTCGACCTATTTATATAAAAGCTATATATCTTGCTCTTGTTTAGTCATTTTATTTGGAGAATTTCTTCATCGAATGATTTGAAACAATTTGATAGATTTTTTTTTCTTTTCTTTTTGTATTAATTTGGATAGGAAAATTTGGGAAAAAATTTTTTTTTATTATTATTATTATTATCTATCACAGTTTAGTTTCTCTTTATATATCAGCTTAAAAAGTTGTGTTCTGCTTGAAGGGTTATCGTTTGATCGATGAAAGAAGAAAGGGATGAGAAGTGAGAATGGCGAAAGTTGAAATGAGTGAAAGAAATAGTCTCGGTGATATTAAACTCCGAGTTCAGATATAAAAAAAGAGGCCTCGAAAAATTTCAGTTGAAAATGAAAAAAAGATTGCTTCCACTCTCGAATATTTTCTTTTTCACTCGATTTTTCTAACTTCTCTAATTTTAGTTTTTGGAATTTTCAGTTTCGAAATTTTCGTCTTCTAATTTTATTTTTCGTGAATTTTGTAATTTTTGCACTTTGAATTTTTGTACTTTTAATTTTAGTGAATTTTGGATTTTTCATTTTCAATTTTAGTTCCTTTTTGATTTTTAATTTTTGTACTTTTAATTGTAGTGAATTCTGGATTTTCAATTATTTTTTATAAATTTTGTAGTTTTTGTACTTTCAGTTTTAGTGAATTTTGAATTTTTGTACATAAATTGTGTAATTTTTGTATGTACTTTTATTTTTAGTAAACTTTGCATTTTCAATTATTGTAATTTTTGTACTTTCAATTTTAGTAAATTTAGCATTTTTAAATTTAATTTTTTTCTGTACTTTTAATTATAGTAAATTTTATACCTTCAATTATTGTAAATTTTGTAATTTTTGTACCTTTAATTTTAGTAAATTTATAATTTTCAATTTTATTATTTTTTGTACTTTCAATTATAGTAAATTTTGGATTTTCAATTTTTGTAAATTTTGTACTTTCAATTACTGTAAGTTTTGTAATTTTTGTACCTTCAATTTTAGTAAATTTTACACTTTCAATTGTTGTTCATTTTATAATTTCTTTTACTTTCAATTATAGTAAATTTTCAATTTTTTAAATTTTGTAACTTCAATTTTTGTAAATTTTGTAATTTTTAAAACTTCTAATTAAAGTAAATTTTGCATTTTCAATTTTTTTTATTTTTAATGTTTACAGTTTTTTTTTTGAGTTAATTTTAATATTATCTTTTTCTTTTTTTTCAGGTGGTCTCTTTGAATTCTCTCACACACAGACGAGGGAAAACTTATTTTTAGGTGAGTCTGAAATTAAAATGGTGTTTAAAAGTAAGGCGCGTCTTAATTTAAAACTGAAATTCGAAAATAAAGTTTCAAAATTTTAAACAAAATTTATTATAATATACAGATTATTGCATTAATTATTCTACTATTAATCGTTAAATAAACAATAATCTGTATTTTAAATTAATCTATTTTTTAAGACAAGACTGCAATAAAATTTTTTTTTATAATATTTAATTAATTATTAATTAATAATGATTAATTAATAATTAATAATCTTAATATTTATTAAGAAAATATTTGTTTTTCAATATTTTAAATATTAATAATAATTAATTATTATATTATAAAATAATGTAATAATAAATTGATGATAATAATTTTAATAATAGACTGAAGATAAATTTATTTTGTTGCAGTCGCCGATTACTTTTCTATTATTAAATAAATATTTAATTGAATTAAATAATTTATGTAGTTGAATTAGATAATTTATTTATTTATATTTCAATCAATTAAATGGTGTTTGATTTAAATACTTTAAATTTAAACAGTTTTTCTAAGGATATCAAATTGAGACAAAAAACGAATCAAAAGCGTTGCTTTTGAATAAACATAATTTTTCTTCAGTGTAATAAAAATATTATTATTAACAGAGAAAAAAATTTGTTAATTCAAAGAAAAAAATTATATATATTATTTACAATAATAATATTAATAATAATATCAATAATAATAGTCTTACTAATTAATAACAAGAGTGATCCTTTCCTAGGATTTAATAAGTGATCAAATTTCAGTATTTGAGATACTAATAACAATAATATTGATGATAACAATTTTAATAATAATAAAACTATTAATTAATAACTGAAACAAAATCTTTTACTTTTAAAAAAATGATATTCTTTATAGTAATAATATTAATATTTATAATATTTTTGATAGTGTAGCCATTAGGCCAAACGGATAATTACATTTCTTTTATTTTATATTGATAATAAATTATAATAAATTATTATTAGTCATAGTTTAATTAGTATTCCTATAAAAATATTATTAATGCAAAAATATTAATAAATAAAAAAGAATTTTTACAGTAAAATAAAATATAATTAAAATTTCCTTTCTTTGCTATAAAAGATAAAATATATCATGGAAAACGGAATTAAAATTTCCATGAAAACTAAAATGAAAAATATTCCATAAATCATTTCTAGAGAAGAAAATTTTTCAAAGTCTATTTTGAAAAAAAATTGTAGACAGTGAAATTTTGAATAAAAAAATGAAAAACGATGAAATTTTGAATAAAGAATGAAAAATGATGAAATTCTGAATAAAAAATGAAAGTTGATGAAATTATTTGAATAAAAAAATGAAAGATGATGAAAATATGAGAATAAAAATATGAATTGAATGTTAAAAATGAAAAAGTCAAATAGGGATGTAAATTTTGAAACTTACTGAAGCTAGCCGCGGGCTGAGTATGATCCGCGGCAGTAGCTGCGGATGGAGGGGTGTAGCTGCTGCAGTAGTACGGCGGGTGCTCTATTTTGATCGCGTTTATTTGAGGCTGCATGTCGCTGAGGTCATGCAGTATGGACGCTGAAACCAGACACATACAGTCTACTTCAATATATATACACACAAATATATATAACTATATATCTATATATTTGTATACATGTCTATGTATATATAGATTGGTAATAATTTACGATTAAAATTCCCGTCTTTCATTTTCTTATTTCAAATAATTCATTATTTCATTTTTTCCCCTCTCTTGTTCAAAAAAAAAAAAAAAAAAAAAATCTCATTAGAAAAATTCTAACAACATGAGACGAGAAGTTTTTTAAGAATATATCGTATGTTATAAAGTCGCAGGAAGCGTCGTGTTAAGCTTCCGCTATTCCACGTCACTCAACGCGCAATGGAAGATCGTATTTTATTTTTGAATTTTCTTATTTCTGTCGCGCCAAACTATACACAAGGCTGTGGCGCGCATGAGATAGCAAAATTCGACTTTGACGTTCTCAAACATTTACCCTTCGCTTCATGTTTATTTGCTTTTATGAAAAAGAAAAAAAAATTTAATATGCAAAATAAAAAAAAAGAAGAAATTTTGTACTTTTGTAAATTTTCTTCGCTTTCATTTAGAGGAGGGAATTTTCAATATTTAACATTCAATTGATAAAATGAAGTAAAGAACATTAATGTAATGGTTTTTTATTCAATATTTCTCTTTTTTCGTATTTGGATTGAAAAATCAGTGGAAAAAATTTTTTTCTCTCTATTTTATGGAACAGGTTTCTTTTTCCGTTTTTTTTGTTGACTCGAAATTAATCAGAACTTTTTGAGAACTGTTTTACGCTATACAATTTTATATTTAGTAACATTTATTTTTTATAATAATATTTTATTTTATTTTATTTATTTTTTAATTAATTAATTTATTTTTTTTAATATTTATTATTTACTAAAAATAATGAAAATATTTGTATTATTTATTTCAATCAGAATTTAGATACATTACAAATTACAACAATAAAATAATAAATAAGAAAAGTAGAAACAATAATAAAAATAAATAAATGAAGTATAAATAAAGGTAAATAAAAAAATTTATTTATTTATTCGTATTCGTAAAAAAAAAATTAAAAATTAACACAAAAGTTTAATATTGAAAGACAACAAATTTAGAATGTTAATTTTTTACTTTACAATAATTATTTCAATAATTAATCAGAAGCAATAAATAAGTAAATAAATAAATACGAAAATTAATAAATGAAATAGAAGATAAATACGTAAAAACAGTAATTTTATACTAGAAAATTTTATTATTTATATTGAAAAAATAACAAATCAAGAACATAAAAAAGAAATTAAAAAGTAATAGAATAAAGAATCATAAAAAATGTTTAATTTTAATAACGAAATAAACAAATGAAAATTTATATAGACAAAAATTTTAGAATGTAAATTTTTTACTTTAGAATATTTATTTAAAAAATTATTAAGAAGCAATAAATAAATAAATACGAAAATAAATAAATAAAATAGAAGATAAATAACTAAACACAGTAGTTTTATACTGGAAAATTTTATAATTTATATTAAAAAAATAATAAATAAATAACATAAAAAATAAATTGAAAAATAATACAATAGAATAAAGAATTATAAAAAATTAATAAAATGTAATAAATAAAAAAATTTCTAAAACTGCTTGAATTTAATTTCAGCAATTTTATATTACAAAATTTTATATACATAAAAGAATATAAAAGAATAAAGTAAAGAATAAAAAAACTAAATGATAAAAATGAAAATTATTAAATTAAATTAATTTAAAAATACAATTGATGATAGTAATAAAAGAAATAAATTAAGAACAAAAGTATAAAGAGAAACAGTCGAATGATAAAAATAAAGAAGAAATACACAAATAAAAATTTGTAGGTATAGAGAAAAAACAAATAAATAAATATGTAAAGTAAAAAATATTATTAAATTAATAAACAATTATTTTTTCATAATAAAATTCCGAAACTTGTAAATATAAAGGTAAATATTTAATTAAATAGGATCAATTTTACACTGTAAAATTTTATACTTAATATTATGGGATGAAAATAATAAAAAAATATTAACTAAAAAACATATAAGAATTAATTGAAAAATAATAAAATAAATAATGGAAAAAAGCAAAAACGAAATAAAAAAAGTATAAAGAGTAAAAAATAAATAAATAAATAAACATATAGAGTAAACAATTATGAAAAGTTTTTTTTTAATATTTATAAACATATATAAATATATGTAAATAAAAATAGGAATATTAGGTAAAATATCAATAAAACAATTATTTAGAAAAAAAATACAGAAACTATAAATTTTGTTTTTTCTTGTTTTTTATTTTTTTTATACTTTTCTAAAAAATACAAAGCTGAAAGTTGTCATAAAAAATTAGTCTCTCTATTAATTCCATATAAAAGAAGAGTATATACACGTCATAATTAAAGAAAAATTAAAAATCTCAGATTATTGATACTCTTCTCTTTTTTTATTTTTAATTCCTCTTTTTTTCTTCTCAACTCTAGCGTCACTTCCGCTTTCCTCTTTTCACTGCCCACTTCGCGACTGACGAAAATTGCTTTTTCATCCACATGAGCGCGCGGGTCTCTCTCTAGACACGGGTGGTTCAACATTAAAAAACGGAAAAATTCTACCCTCGCGGCTTTCTGAATTGAAACAGGAGTTGAGAGGTGGGGGGAAGGGGGCGGGGGTGGGTTTGTGGAGCATTGTTAACCAAAAGCAAGTGTGCATAGCTCGATTCTTTATACCACGTTCACGCTAGCTCGCGAATCTCAATTTTCACACGTTCCTCGTTTCTTCTTATTCTTTTTTTTCCACTCTCTCACTCTCTATACATGGAAAATCAGCTTTCTCACTTTTTTTCACAATTTTTCTCTTTTTTTTCGGTGTTTCTAAAATGTCAAATAGCGAGGAAAATATGGCCTCGAGTTACGCACAATTTTCATGATTTTTTTTTTTTTTTTGTTGAAGAGAGAGAGGAAAAGAATAATTAAAAAAAATATTTCTTTAACAAAGGAAAAGTAGTTTTTTTATTAGAGAATTTTTTTTTTCTTAAAGAAAAATAGACTGTTTGTTAGCTTTTTGTTCTTTAATATTTAATTGTGGAATTAATCTATAATCTTTTTTTTGTTTAACAATGTTTTACAGAAGTTTTAAAGAATAAAAAATTTTGAAGTAGAATTAAAATTAAACTAAAAAGTTATAATTAAATGAACAAAGTAGTACTTAATAATAAAAAATGAGTAATAAATATTTAGGTAATAAATAAATGTAAATAAAAAATAAATGTAAATAAATAAGTAAATAAAAAAATAAAATAGTAAATAATAATCATAAATAACATACTTTTGTTTCGATTATTTTTTCTAAACGAATTAAAATAAATAAGTAAATAATGTAACAAAAAAAATTATTAATGAATAAAATAGTACATAATAACAATAAATTAATAAAAATATAAATAAATTACTTGATTTACAAAAATTTATTAAAAGCACTTTTTTTCGTTCATTTTTTCTAAATGTAAATAAAATAATAAAAATAAATTTCACAAAGGACAAACAAATTAAATTGTTAAAGAATAACATAGTAAACAATAAAAATAAATATTTAAGGAGTTAATAAATAAAATAGTTAAAAACAAAACTGAGGAGTTTCTTTAATAATTTTAATTGAAAATTTTGAAAGCAATTGGATTTTATGAAAAAGAATTTTATTAAAATTAAATTGAAAATAATTGAATTCTTGAGAAGAGTTTTACTATTTATAAAAATAATTGAAATGTTTTGAAAAATTTATTAAAATTTTAAGAAATAATTAAATTGTTATGAAGAATTTTATAGAAATATTTAAAAAATAATTAAATTTTTTCGAGAAATTCAATTAAAGTTGTTTCGAAAATAATTGAATTTCTTTAAAGAATTTTATTATTTTTGAAAATAATTGAATTCTTTCAATTTTTTTTGACGAATATATTTAAAAATTGCATTGAACGTAATTTAATTCTTATATAGAATTTTTTAGAAATATTTTGACAATAATTGAATTATTTTGAGAGAATTTTAAATTCTTCTTGTAATTGAATTTTATGGAAATATTTGAAATTAATTAAATTCTTTCGTGTAATTTTATTTAAATTGGATTAAAAATAATTTAATTCGTGCAAAGAATTTTAGTATTTATAAAAATAATTGCATTTTTTCCAAAACTTTATTAAAATTTTAGAAAAAAATTGAATTTTTTCGAAATATATTAAAATTTAAAAAAAAAAATAAATTCTTCTGAGGAATTCAATTAAAATAAATGAAATAATTAAAAATAATTGAATTTTAGTAAAGATTTTACTATTTAAAAAATAATTGAATTCTTTAGAAGGATTTTTTAAAATTTGAGAAAATAATTGAATTGTTACGTGAAATTTTATTAAAATTTTTGAAAATATGAACAGTAATAATTAATTTTGTACTTAATAAGTGAATTTTTTAAATTTTGATTATGAAATTATTTAAAAAATTTATAGTTGAAAATAAATAATTTTGTAATTTGCATAACAATAATAAATTGAATACCTCGTTCCGCGCGTAACATTTGCTACTAATTAATATAAAGAACAAAAAAATTTTTTAATTAAAAAAAATTAAATAAAAATTTAATTTTTGAATAAATTCGTAATTTATTCGATAAACAACAATAAATTTAAATGTAAGTTTTATTTAAAAAAAAAAAAAGTATTAAAATACGCGAGACAAAATTGTGTAATAATTAGTTGCGCTAAATTAAAAGTTTGAAAAAATTTTTTTTATGGAGCGAAGAAGGAGGCTCGGGTGAGGAGATTCTAAAGCTCTGAGGCCGTGAGCATTGTTCGCTTCTATTAATACGCGGGGTTGCATACTAATCTACTGCACAGAGAGCGGATCACACTTGCATTTGTCGAGGCATTTCGAGACACGATTCTCAATGCTCGTTCCCATGCCCTATTATTCCATTTACCACCTTTAATATACAAAAAAAAACCTATATAATATTCATTGAAAAAAAAAAAAATTTGCAAAAATATTTTCTTTTATCTTCAATAAAAATAACATCCTCGAAAAAAATAATAAAATATTTCATTCAAGTTTCTTTTTCAATATACTCTTTTATAACCTTTTGAAATTTTTTTCCGGGGGAAAAATGTAGTTTTTTCTCGTGATGAAAAAAAAATAATAAGTACAATAAAATATAATATAATAAAATATAATAAAATAAAATAAATAGTGTTAATAAAAATAATAAAAATGACAGAAGAAATAATTATAATAATGATCCACAAGTTGTGAACGTTTAAATGAAAGAAATTTTTTGACACTAGAAATATTTATAAAAATTAGTGACTATTGTAAAAGGCAAATGCAAAATTAAACATTTAGAATTTTTAGAATTTATTTTTTAATACGTGATGCAATATTGTGCAATAAAATCTAAATCTGAAGATGAATTAAGTAAATTTTTTTCATTTGAACGTTCAGAAATTTAGGAACGACTATAATAAAAATATAAATTGTATGTAACGAAATAAATAAATCAATAATAATAATGAAAATGAGAAAAAAATAAAATAAAATACTAACAATAAAAATAATAATAATATTAATAAAAATCAGAGGGTTGATTATGAATTTTCATTTCTACTTTAACTTTTATTTTCACTTTCACTTTTGTGGATTTTTATTTTCAATTTCATTTTTACTATTATTTTCATTTGACAGATTTTTTATTTTCACTTTCACTTTCATTTTCATAGATTTTTAATTTTCGCTTTCATTTTCGTTTTGATAAGATTTTTATTTTCACTTTCATTTTTCCTTTGATAGGTAGATTTTTATCCTGAAAATAAAAGTGAAAGTGTAAATAAAAGTAAAAATAAAAATTTTATCAAAGTAAAAATGAAAGTAAAAATAAAAATTATATCAAAGTAAAAATGAAAGTAAAAATAAAAATTTTATCAAAGTAAAACAAGAATTTTAAAAAAGTAAAAGTGAATTCAGAATAAAATTTTTAATTTTTATCAAAGTAAAAGTGAAAATGAAAGTCACAGTAAGAATAAAATAACAATAACGACCCCCAGAATAAAAATATTGAAAACAAAGAAATAATAGTAATAGTATTAAAAAAAACAATAATAAAAGTAATAACAATAAAATTTTATTATTATTATTATTATTATTATTATTATTATTATTATTATTATTATTATTATTATTATTATTATTATTATTATTATTATTATTATTATTATTATTATTATTATTATTATTATTATTATTAATATTTTTAGGTATTATCCTGACTGTTATTATTTGAAAAATGAGAAAAAAATGGGTCATTGGCTTTTGGAGAATGAAATTTGTATAATACCAGAAAAAAAGGATTTGCAACGACTAACAGAGGATGCTTTCAAAAGGCAGAGTTCGGCGTTTACCTTTCGAAAGCATCCACATGGAATTTGGAATTTTTTTTCCACCTGTTAATATAATTATTTTGAAAGTAGATATTTTTTTCTTTTGAGAGACAGAACAAAGAATTATTTTTTTTTGTTTTTAATTAACTAAATAAATGTGTATTATTCTAGATAAATTTGGAGATTTGAATATCTATATATATATAAATATATTGTATATTCTTTTAGATTTGAAAAGAATCGTCGTACCTTTTGAAAGCATCCAGAGCTCCTTGGAGCTGAAAACACCTGTCGCGAGGATCGTATCGTTGCATACGACACCATTATACAGTTCGTGGTAACCTGCACCTGGGAACAAACCCAATCGATAATTTTTTCTTATCGATAAACGATCGTTCCTTTGGAAAATTATTTTTTTTTTTTTTGTTTTTAAATTAGATTTCTTTGTAGGTTAGATTTTTGGAAAATTAGATTAGATTTTTTTAGACTAGACTTTTGGTTGAGTAGATTTTTTTAGACTAGATGTTTTTCTAATTAGATTAAATGTATTAACTAATTTGGACAGAGTAGATTTTTTTTTTTTTTTGAAATTCTGTATAATGAGAGAAAAGAAAATCATTTAAAAGAGAAGCAAACTAATTAATGAGTAATTAAATTATTATTAAGGGCTTGTGACACTTGAAAGAAAAACTTTTTTTTCATTTTATTATTTCTCAATTAATTTTTCTTCTTCTTTGAATTTTTTTTTTGCTTTTGTATTTTATTTTTTATTCACTTTTTTATCTTCTGAAATTGTAACTTCCGAGAATTTTTACTTCCCAACAATCCCAACTGATTTTTATTTATTAAAAAATTTTTATTAGGTTGTTTTTTGTCATTTGTTTTCTTTCTTACTTCTAATTTGTAACTTTTGATATTTTTTATTTCAAAATTAATTTCAATTGGAACAGAAAAAAAATCCTAAAATATAATTAAAAACTTTTTTTCTTTTCAAGTTGTACTTTATTTTTTTTTTTAATTATTTTTTGTTTCTAAATTCTAAAGTTTGAGAAGTTTTTTCAAGTTTTTCATTTGTCACATACTCTTAATAGTTGTGAAAAGAAAGAAAATCGGTTCGAAGGAAAGAAAAAGAAATTTTCTTTACGTTTATAAATTAATTTCTACTGTTCAAAATCATGCGTACCTTTACGTCGCCTTTCTTCTTCCTTATTAGCATTACAGATACCATTCAGCACTTCTGGAAGTATAAAAAATATAAATTTAATAAAATCCTTAAATTTAGTATTTAATTGTTCTATAAAGTAGAATTTATAAATAATTAATGCTTATTCCTCTAATAATTTATTAACTAGAGAATTGAAGAAATTAACAATTTTTGTTAGAGAATTCGCGATTTTTTTAATATTTTCCTCTCTATAAATTTCTTATTGTTAATAATTAATTTATTAAATAAATAATTCCAATTTCATTCGTAAGAAACAAATTAAAGAAAATTAACAATTCTCTTTTCAAGAATTACTAATTTTCATTTTTTTTCCATAAATTTTTCCATTAATAATTTTATGAAACAAAGAATTTTGAATATAATTCGTAATTATCTAATTATACAAAATCATTAAGAAAAGAAAAGAAGAAATTAGGATAAGAAAAGAAAAAAAAACTGAATACTCAAGTTTTTTAATCTTTACTCTAAATATTCCCCTCTTTAATTACAATTTTTTTATCGACACAGGCAAAAAGTGCATTTGACCCGAAAAATAATGTACCGAAAAAATTGTCAACAATTTTCGGTCAATTAAAATAACAGCTAATCTTCATCAGTCATCAAGAGTAGCTAAAGTCACTTCACGTCGTTAGCTTCCCTGTCACACGGTGTTTTATATCGTGTGATCTTACGCAAATCTCATTACGTAACATATCACCAAAATACCCGAGAGCCCAGAACGTTCGACTTCTTCAGGGTAAAAGAATTTTTTTTCTTTTTATTTTCCCGTGATTTACAATCTCGGATAAAAATAAAAAATTTCAAATAATATCCTGACCTTGCGAAAAAGAAAAGTTTTAGTCAACTGCCGTATCTTGAATAAATTTGTAAATTAATAACAAAAATATTTTTTTTCCATTCATTTTTCATTTTCATTCAGTTTTATTTTTATTAATTTTTATTTATTTTCATTTATTTTCATTTATTTTCATTTATATTTTTTTATTTTCTTTTTTTTATTATTTTCTTTAGTTATTTTATTATTTTTAAGTTCTTTTTAAAGTTATTCATTTTATTATTTCTTCTTTTAGTTCAGCCATTATTACTGTTCATTTGTTTTTTAAATTTTATTTTTTCGGAATTTTTCGTCAGTTGAAACTCAAATAAATAATTATTATTTTAATTATTGTTCCAAAAATACGAAATTAATACTAATTAATTAATAAAATAATAATAATACTAATAGAAAAAATTCCAAACTCAAATTATTTTAAATATTGTTAAAAAATAGGAAATCAATACTAATCAGTGTTAAAAAAATACGAAATTAATAATAACTAATTAATTAAATATTATTAATGAAAAAACGTCTAAATTAAAGTATAAATAAATTATTATTTTAATTATTTTTAAAAAAATACGAAAGTACCTAATAATAAATAATTAATAAAATAATAATAAATACGTTCAAATGGAAAAAGAAATTATTTCTCTAATTATTGTTAAAATAAATGCGAAATTAAAATCATAAAATTAAAATAAAAAATATTCGAAATAAATTTTGAAAATCCACAAGTGCATTAATTTTTCTTTAATTCGCGCGCTTCCTTTTCTTTGTAAAATCTCTCTCATAGAGAAGACAAACTGGTTATAATTTATACCAATCATTTTTGGAGTATTGCCATTAAAAAAAATATCATTATATGTCATGAGACTAAATTACTGTGAATATACACACAAGTCGGCGGGCGAGTGTTGTATTTAAATCATAAAATTTACAAGTTTTTGCGTAATAACATAAAAGCGGAAATGAATTTTCACTCTCAAACACATATTAGTTTCAGATAACTGCAATTTCTTAATAACAAAATAACACATATGTAAGTATATATATATATTTTAATACGAAAATTTACGCTTCATGCTAATTCAATTTCATGATTTTAATATACATATACATATATACATCTATCTTTATGTATATGTGTGAGAAATACAACACGACAGCTGCATAATAATTCCTTTTAGCTTTAAATACTGAAAATTCGATGTTCATTATTTATTATATATGCATTCGCGGATATGTAGATGATTAATTTATTTACATTGGAGAGTAATAATAGAACGACGTTGACGCTCTTTCTATATAGATTATTTTATAAAGAGATTGCAAATAATGGCATGGAAAAATTTTTCAAGGTCGTGGTTTTAGAAAATGAAGCTCGAAAAAAGCTTTTTTTAGATGATTTTTCTACTTTTTTGTAGACGAGTTTATAATTAACTGCGCGGATATTTTTGTCTTTTATTATATATTCGGATGCAATCATATTTTATTTTATACTCTTATTTTTGGTATCAGAGGAAGAAAATTATGTTAATTAGTCGCGCGTAAATTATGTTAATTAGTCTATTGATTCTAAATTAATAGACCTCCATTCAAATTTGAACGAATTTTCGCTAATCTAGACGTGAAATTTAATTTTTCGTTTATTAATACCTATTATTAGTGCAGTTGTAAATTTTGTTTGGGAATTATAATATACAATGATAATTATAATAAATTATATATTTATTGTATATTATATTATTTATTATATTATTATAATAGTATTATTATAATAATTATTTGAATTTTATTATTTTGAATTTTAAATTTATTTTTCAATTATAATAATTATATTATATATAATAATAATAATAATATATTAATTATAATAGTATTATTATAATTTTAAAAATTAATTAACAAAGTTCCGTTTATTTAGTCTTTTTTGTTCGTTTTTTTAATGTTGAAACTATTCATTGAAGAACTTTAAATAATTTTTATAATTTTTTATAATTATTTACAATCATAATTTTTTGTCATAAATTTTTTGAATTAATTTTCTTTTTAATGTTTTACTTTCAAAAATTTTTATGAATTATTTTACTAATTTAAATTAATGGAAAAAGAATGTAATGAATAGTTGGGAGCGCAATTTAAATAAAACGTTTTTTCAGTTTCTTGAATATAATTTTTTTGCTTACTTCAAAAAAAAAAAAATTAATTTCGGTAAAATAATTATTGCCGTTTAAAGTAGTAAATTTTTTTTTGGCGATTAAAAAGATTCGCTTTTTTTGCATAGTGCGAGGAGATGAGCGTATAAGAAAATCGACATGGGCAAATAGCACGTTAGAACTGTTACAAGATGTCCGGTCGTCTATTTATTTATAGAGCAAGCGCACACACTCGAAACAACTTGTAAATATATCCGTTTAGTTACACGTATACAAAATCCCATATACAAACATTCTTTGCAATCGTTATCATACTCTCACTAAAAGTATGAGGCAATTTGAGCACATTTGCAATTCACAATTGGTTATTCGGATTTTTTTCTCAAAAATTAAAAATTGTAATTTTATTTTCAATTTTTTAAGAATAAAATATACAAATAGAAGTATTTTAGTTGAATTTCCAAATAATTTGTTAATCAATTAATATTAACAATAATAATTTGAATGTTCTTTCATTCATTCACTTTTTCTGTCCCTCACACTCAGAAGTTGTCTTTTGTTTTTTACTAACTTTAGATAGATTGCACATTATATTATTATGTCATAATTATTTTTATTTTATAATTAATTCAAAATTGTAATGACAAATAGAAATCATCAGAATTTTTTTTCAATTCTTTTCAATAAAAGACTAAAATTTTGTTAAATATTATGTTTTTTCAAATTGAAATTATGCAGATTTTTGTTCTTTACTTCTATAAGGAAAATTAGAAAATTGTTAAACAACTCTGATTAAGACATAGAAAATTTATTTATTTTCCATTATTTTTGTTTATGAATCACAATTTTTTTAACAAAATTATTATTATTTTCTTTTTGGAAAAAGAAGAAAAATATTTGCACAATTTCTATTTTTAATCTTATTTTTGGAACAGGATTTTCCACAGGAATTAAGACATTCAAGAATTTTAAATCCAAACCTTTTTTAAATTAAACAATTTATAATAATTAAAGATGATCGAGAGATAAAATCTTTATTTTATTTCATAAGAATATTGTTACTGTAAGTTCATCAAAATTATTTTCATCATTTTAATTCAATTATTATTTTCTAGAATTCAAATTATTTTTTATGAAAATAATTGAATTCCTTGGAAATTTTTATTATTTATGAAAATAATTAAATATTTGCATAGAATTATATTAAAATTTTTTTAAATAATTGAATTCTTTTTGGGAAATTTTAGTAAAATAGTAGATATTGAAAATCATTGAAATTAGAAAAATGCATTTTATTTTTGAAAATAATTGAAATTAGGGCAAGAATTTTTTTGACACTTATGAAAATAATTGAACTTTGGAGAAGAATTTTGTTATTTATAAAGATAATTGGGATTGTATTAATTAGGATTAATTGAGATTATTTGGGAAAATTTTATAGAATTATAGGAAATATTTTCCTCACGAGATAAATTTTTTTCTTTTTCCGTAAAAATGATAAAATTAATATGAGAGACGAATGTGAAACAGATTATTTAGGTTGATTTTTATCGGAGTGAATTTTCGCGAGTAGAGAAAGAGAGATAGAGAGAGAGAGATGAATTTTGATGATGAAAGATATAAATTAAGAATAATATTCGTTCCATGTAATTAAGACTGGCTCATCGCTTATAGAGTGCGAGTAATAGTAAATTTAAAATGAATATAGTTTATAGAAGAAGCTCTCTCGCGTCGTATTATAGAGATCCAACCCTTAGGTTGAGGAGAGAGAGCTAAATATCGCTCACAGCATCAGAGCAAAGTTGCGTAAGTAACATCTAGCCTTATGCGAGTGTTGAAGTAGAGGACAGGTGCCTCTCAGAATTTTCTCTTGCAAATGCATTTTCGTATGCAACTGTTTTAGCACTCGCTTCAAAATAGTCGCACACCACACACAAGAGACAAATTTCCTCTCTCTACCCCCTTCCCCCTCCTCTTTCCTTCCTTGGCCCCAACACTTCAATTTAAAATATTATAATAATTTCCCTCCGTGTGAA